TATATATATATATATATATATATATATATATATATATCAATTTTGATCCCAGCCTCTAACTTCTCGGACCCGCGTCCGAATAGCCACTTCGTTGTTCTAAGTTCTACGAAATCGGTTGTTAAAAGTCTCAAAATAATAACAATGTAAATTACATTGTTAATATTATTTTGACAAATTTAAACAATTCTAAAGAAAAAACAATTACAAAATTGTACGAATTAAATGATTTATAAACTTAATATTGAAGTTGTACATCTCTCTGTAATTAATTTTAATTATAAATTATTATGACGCATAAAGTTGATAAAGAGCGAGTCTTCTGCCAAAGAAAATAGAATTGACATTCCTCTTGTTTTCCTCTCCGATACCAAATTTCAGCCCAGCGGTATTTTTTAATTCTGTTTTTATTGTTGTTTGTTCATTAAGAAGACTTTTTTCCGACACGTTCGTTTTTTTGTTGCGTTCTTTTCTCCCCGATTTCTCATTCTTTTTTTCGCTTATTTAGCTACCGGTACGGTATTTCTAATCATCGCTGAGGTACCGAGCTGGTTGTCCAGGAAATAAATTCGCCTGGTAAATGTTCAAAGGGAAATAACCAAATATTCTTATTGAAGATATAAAAAAAAAAAGGTATCTACCATTGCAAATCATTTTTTTTTTCTTTTACAATTTCGCCCTAAACAAAATGAGGATAGTTACAAGCATAATATAGTCTCAATTCTTTCTATGGTTTCCGTTCTTCCTATCTCACTGAACTTCTTTCTGTCTATTCATCCCTTTGAAAGCTTTGTTCCTCTGCAGACGTGTATTCTTTCTGTTCATTGAACACACACTAAAACATATGGTGAACGATCTTTCTTTCTGTGCCAATAAACAATGGAATTCTCTCCCATTACACATCCTCAATATACTGACCGCCCCAGCCTTCAAAACTGCCCTCAAGACCCATCTCTTCATACTGTACAATACAGACTCATTCCCCCCTCCCTCTAACTGATAAACATTGCTCGATGCTGCTGGATGCTGTCCATGGCTAGACAGGGGTAGATAGTACTGGGGTGGGTGAGGTCAAGTTTTTTACCAACTGTTTTAAATGAATCACGTACGGGTTAAACCTGTTTTGATAACAAGGGAGGAGATTGCAATAAGAAAGAAAATATGTAACACAAAGGAGGTAAAGCCCTGGAAAAAAAATTCAGGTTTTCCCCTACCATGTTTGACATATTTCCTCATCATTGTTTCTAATTATTTTTTTTAACATTGGTATAGCTTATAAGTATAAGGAAAATGAAAACAAACATCAGCCGTAGCAATCAGCGACCAGCAGCAGTCACACACATATGTTTAATCTCTTTATTGTTTATGGGTTAGGATTATATGCTTATTAATAGTGTTTGAAGTCTTCTACTTGATGCAGCGTTGAGAGCTATGGTTCTTCTATACAGGGAGTTAATTTTCCCCACTGGGTGGAACATGTTAAATGAAGTCCAAAAATATGAGTATTATTGGAAAAAGAGTTAAAAAAACAAAAAACGAAAACTAGCTCAACAAATTATATGGCGTTTATTTACATTAAAGTTAAAGTATAATTACAAAAATGCATTTTCTGGTACAAGTATTTTATATTTTTATACAGAAATTACAAGACCACAAATATTATTCAAATATTTTTTGTCTCAATCGAGAACCACAAAAATGGGATGTTTGCTTAGTGTTCTTGATTTATATTATATCACTTGTGATTGTTCCTTGTGTCTGTCAGTTATGAGAAAGTTTTGGATCACATTGTTAATGATACAAGCAAGAAGGTACAGACTTGTTTAATGAGCCTTACCATAATACCGGTACTTAATGTTAAAAACAAATTCTAATTGGGTAAGCGTTATACATTTTCTGATAACTGGTACAGGTACCTTTTTAATTAGAACTAATAAGTTAAATTTTTAAAAAATAAGTGGCAACCAGGTCATTGCTTGTATATTCTAATGCTAATACAAATAGCAATGCTTCTTTCTTTGAGCATGTATACAGTTTTGGATACTGGTGTAAAATATATACAGATACCGGTATACAAATCATTTTTAACTCTTTGGCATATTTCCCCCAATTTCTTCTATGAATCCTTTCTTGTTTGTCTTGTCTTTTGTCTTTGCTATTTTAATTTCAGGTGTCATCAATTTAATAAGGTTTACATAGTTGATATTTTCTTCTGAATTTGATTCAGACTCTGAGATGCCTTCGCTGTCACTGATGCTGTCATCTTCACTGTCTTCAAGACACTCAGCCGGAATCATGGATAAATTCTATAGTTATAAAAAAAATTATATAATTATATTATAACTAAGTAAGGCAAATAAATGACAACAACTTTTACAAAGGGTAAACAAAATTATTTAAATAGGTATATAAACTGGATATAATCAAATTTGGAGAAAAAATTGTTAAAGCTACAACCACAGACTAATAGACCGATGGTTAGTTAAAAAAGGAAAATGGAAAAAACAAATATTTTAAAATAATGCTCTACATTATTGCCAAAAGTAGATAGGGGTAACTTGCACATACTAGAGTTATTGTGTACAAACATTTCATCACGAAAATTTAGAGATAGTTGCAAATTAAAATTTAGAGATAGTTGCAAATTAAAATTTAGAGATAGTTGCAAATTAAAATTTAGAGATAGTTGCGAATTAAAATTTAGAGATAGTTGCAAATTAAAATTTAGAGATAGTTGCAAATTAAAATTTAGAGATAGTTGCAAATTAAAATTTAGAGATAGTTGCAAATTAAAATTTAGAGATAGTTGCAAATTAAAATTTAGAGATAGTTGCAAATTAAAATTTAGAGATAGTTGCAAATTAAAATTTAGAGATAGTTGCAAATTAAAAGATTGCTCTTAACCAGTGAGTCATTTCCTTAATCTTTAACCCTCTGCTAATGCTTACATGCCAACCTGTGCGATCAAAACCTGTACATAAAATCCCCAAAACCTGTACCAGTACATAAAACAACACAAGTAAAAAAAATAATCCTTGACAACATTTAAATTTAATTATCACAGTTTTCAATTCTTTTAATCTTTGGCTTTGTTTGAAATCTCAAAAAAACAAACAAGTGTCATTGTTTATGAAGTACTGTAAAATAGATGTGATTGTTTCACCATAAAGTCAATTTCTGCATTCAGTTTGGATTTCCAACAGTGAAGAAATCTCAGCCTGCCACAGCGTTTTTTTTCTGGCACATCACACCAAGCCAATACATTGTAAAATTTGGTTCAACAATCCAAAGTTGGAACACTTGGTACAAAAAATAATCATCAAACTCATACTTTAAAATTTCTTGGTAACATCACACAAAATTATGTTTGTAAATCTGCAGGTGGCTGTATTAGATGATGTGTCCTAAAATTTGGGAATGTCCTATTCCTCCACATCCTATTCGTCTGCACCAGTAAACAGTTGAAAATCTTTATTTTTTTATTTTCTTTTTGAACTGTTTCCAAAACTGTATTAAATTAACACCTAATAAAATTTCATTTACAGAAAATGACAGTTGTTTTATTCACTCTTGAGAACAAAGTTTTACCAGGTGACAAATACAACCAATGCTGAATATATAGGAGTTCCTGGTCTTAATTCTGGTCTGCACCGAGTTTGACTTGCCAAGCCAAAAATTGCAATTGTCACCAGGTGATTTCTGGTTTATTTAAAACTGCTTCAATATCCTGGAAAAAGGCTTGACTTGTTCCTCCTGTATCAACTGGTATATCTAGTGCTCTAGTTCTGGATCCACCATCTTCAAACACTTTAACCATAATCACTAATTCATTATCAGTTTTACGGTCATTGGACTTGTCAGTTGATCATGTTTGTTTATTATTTGAAAATATGTCAACATTTTTGTCATCGTTCAAGTTCTCAAGGACAGTTAGATACCGGTAATGAAAATGTGGGGAAAATGAATGACTATTGATTGTAACTTTTTAAAATTACATTTAATATCAATAAAATACATGGACACAAGTTTAATTTTTCTTTTTGACAGACAACTGTTTTTACATTTTTTCAAGAAATAAAATCTTACCATTTCAATATGATGACCGCTTGTTCCACTTATATTTTCAATATCAAACTTATCAATATTGTCTGGACAAGATGAAATTTGAGATGCCATGTCCTTATTGGCATTGGAAATTTGAGGCAGAAATTCTTTCAGTCTAGACAAAACTGAAATATAAGCAATCAGAATATACATACTAAATGTGAAGCCTTTTCTGAAACTAGAAACTTAATTTTAGGCAAGAATCATCCACATTGTTAAATTAAAATAAAAAAAGTTAAATCTTATTTTTAACAAAATAAAATAATTAAATGTGACTTACTCGTAATAATGACATAATTTAATTTAGCACAACTTCCCTCCTATATCTAATAATGGAAATGTACTTTACCTGAACTTGGAGGTACACAAACAGTTCTTAACTGTCCTTTAGGCACAGCAGCTGCATCCTTTCCAACAATTAACAATTTCTTCTCTTGATAACCTATTGGCATTTAAAATTTAAAGGAAGGATACAAAGAAAAGCATCTAAATTATGTTAGCCCACAAAATGGACCTTAATGTAAGATATATTATAAACATAAATAAAATCTATGGTCTTACTAGACGTAAAAAAAACCAATTTATTTTAAAGAAAAGTTTTTATTTAAAATTGATTTAAAAGTGAAAAGAAGACAGTTCTATAAACTTAAAGCCCAGATTTTTTGGTTCAGACCCCTTTGGCTGAATAGACCTACCCACCCCTTTCAAAGCTGGCAAGAAATCTATGGGCCGTAAATTTCAATGGAAAAAAAAAAAAAACAGGAGAAGAAGGAACACTAGAATATGCCTTTCACTCTCACCCTGCATACCATACTTATGAAACATGATAGAGGACTAGAATTATTTTGCTGTCTAGTTTTGCAGTGAGCAAAAAAAAAATATTGCCACTTTACAGCAACTTGATTTATTTTCTATTTCCGAATCCCATATTTTGACAGGTACAATTACCCTCTGTTGTTAGCCAATGACATTTCCTATTTCTGCCAACAACACGTCATTGCCATTAGATTAAAATTTTTTATAATACCTATGATCAGGAGTGTTTGAGTGGTGGAAGCCATTGGACTTGATAAATTCTGTCTATGGGTCAAGTCAATCATGGTATTAGTGTTTAATTTGGAAGTATATAATATAACAATATTGATAACAAAATATTACAATTTCGTTAAAAGCTCAATAATTCTTCACATTTTGCAGCAATTCAAATCATCAAATCCTGAGATTATTTACCGTTAAAAACATTTTTATTAACTTTTTAAGATTATTAACTGTCAAAAACATTTTTCTATAGCATCAAGCCATTTTTAGCAATTTCATATGCTTCTCAAAATAACAAAAATTGGCAGTCTAAATGAATTCAGAGACCATTACAAGTATACATTTTCAATATTGTTATTGAATAGTCAGCATTATTTTAACAATTTATTAACTATAAATTTTTATGAAAGTACATAAGACAAGGTATTTTATATTATGAAAAGAATTTGTTTTTATATTATGTAAGTTGATATTAACCATGATCTTTACTACAGAGTGAATTAAATTTTAGTACCGTACTCAACTTCTGAATTCATACCACTCTAGGTTTAGGTTCAATACCCAGGTTAGGTTTAGGGTCAATACTCAATACCCAGGTTAGGTTTAGGGTCTATACCCAGGTTAGGTTTAGAGATAGATTTAGGGTTAAGGCTAGGTTTAGGGATAGATTTTTTTAGTGATTTAAGGTTCAGGTTAGGTTTAGGGATACAGTTAGGACCTTTTTTCATTAATTTTTAACGTTTTATTCCTAATTTTAGCAAACCTGAGATATTTTATTTTAACATGACCTCCATCTTGGTAATCACCACCCGTGAAACTGTAAAAGTTCACGAGTCGTGGCAACCAAGATGATGACTAGGGGTGTGCCGGATCCGTTTTTTCCAACCGGATCCGGATCCGGATTTTCTTATGCGAAATCCGCCGGATCCGGATTCCGGTTTCTCCCGGATTCCGGATTTTGGTACTATTGGTAGATACTTCGGTAAGTCAAGGTGGACTACTACTTTTTGTGTATGGGAATTCGCAATCGGCGCCAAAAAATCCGAGTTTTTAATTTTCCGATGTGTGTGTCTATTTATTATTAAATTAGTACTTTCGATATATATTTGAGTTCCGTTCCATTTGGATAAGTGTCTTACGAGAGACGCCATGTTTCTACGCGTTCGCAGCAGGTTATGCAGCTCGCTCAACCTAATTTCGCCATGGGGTTGGCCACGCCCCCCTTTTTAATGGCGGAAGTTGACGATACTTAGGAAATATTAATTTATTATCACTATTTACATCAAAATAATTGATAACTTGTGTTTCAGAATGCATTTAAAGACATTTAAACTGGAATGTTTTAATTTGAGCTTTAACAACCCGGTAGAATCCATATTATAAATGATCAGAATTTACCGTGTGCAACACGTTGTCATTGGCAACCATTCACAGCCACTTGCATAACTGTATCGTAGTACTACCTCAGAGTTTCATTCATAAGAGTTTGCCGTGTGCAAAAACTATTAAACCATTGGTCAGGGAAAGCTTTAATTAATTATTCATGTGCCAAAGTTGAAAGTTTAAACTAAGTCTAAACAGTATTTTAGTGATAAGGCAGGGAATGCGTTGCCTTATATAAACTATATAGTCATTGCGCATGACGGGATTGGCGGAATGAGATCACAGAATGTGGAGATGCAGTCCATGTTAAAAAATGACAAACCAAGTCGTACTTTAAAAATTCATAACTTTAAAACTACAACAGCTAAAAATATGATTTTGGTGTTATAATTCTTTAAAAAATTACATCTTTTCAACTATGCCATTGGTTTATTTTTACAAAAAGTTTAAATTTTCTTATCAAAGTCCCTACACTATTGGCCACTATTAGCGGTGCTGACTCTAGCCTCTGGTATGTACGGAATATTAAACATTAAACAAGCTCAACGCTCGAAACAATCGATTAATGTATCGTGATCGTGTGGAATTCGGGAAAGAGAATTACTTTTATTTCAGATTATGATCCGGTGAGTCACAAAATCTGGCAAATTCCGAAATCCGGTATATTCCGGAATCCGGTTGTTCCGGATACATGTAAATCCGGCGGAACCGGATTTCACCGGATAGTGCAAAATCCGGCGGAACCGGATTCCGGACCGGGGTCCGGCACACCCCTAATGATGACCATGGGAAAATACATGGCATCTCGTCTTTGATTTGACCAAAAATATAATTTAAAATATTGAGAATTTGTATAATTATAATTGTTTTCTTTCAAATTCAAATATTAAATTAAAGTTTGTTAGCTACAGATCAGTGCAGAAATTCAAAAGGCAGGCACGGGGAAAGATAGACTCCGTACTTAGTATTATTATTGGGGAAGCAATAACTGTAGACGCCCCTGCATGTGCTACCGGCCGGTACTTAATCTCATATATGATATATGTGAAATTCAAATAATTTAACTTTAGTAGAGAACCCTAAGTCCTAAGGTAATTGACTTAAATTGACAGGTCTTATACTTATACTACTTATAGACTTAAGTATGACAGAGTAAATTAAAGCTTAACTTATGGAGGCAAAGCAGCAATTTTTATTATGCCTACTACTACTAAAACTTTTAACTTCTGTTTAAAAACGAAAAATGTTCTATATATAGTAAAAATAAAAATGAAGAAGCAGATGGAATATTATTATAAATTATTAGCATTTTATTATTATGGCGTGGGATATGAATGATAAAGTCAATATTCTTACAATCAGAAAATTTTTCAGGATAGAGGAGCTGTGAAGATAATTTTGTTGAATGTTCCACGTTTTTATCACATTTTTCATCACTAATTTGATTAACATTTTCAAAACAAGCATCCACCTGTGTAATCATGGGGGCTGCCATCTTTAAAGTGTTGACTAATCTTTAAACAACTGTTCATAATAAAAATTAAAATAAAACAAAAATAAAACAGTTTTTAACAATATAATTTTATATAAAATTATTATTTATTTATGATCAATTAATGTTCAAAATTTTGATTATTTGCTTTTAGATTATTTATTTAAAAGCTTTGCCTGAACTTCTTTATTGAGAGTTTAATAACAAACAAAATGGCTGCATCGCCTTCTCTATCAGAAGGAGAGTTCCACCGTATGCAGGTATATTTTTAAATCCATACTTAATAAATTAAATAAGTGTACATTTTACAAATTTAACAAATTATTGTATACATTAATTTCAAAACACACAAATACAAATCAAAATTAACTGAAGAGAAATATGCTGATATGCCCTAGCCCTATTTCTTTCGAGCTTCTGTTACTTTTTTCTATTATTATTATTTTTATTATTGTCAATAATTGTACAAACCACATTCACACTAATTTAGGTACTTAAATACAATTATAAAAAAAAAAATTGAAATAATTTTTGTAATAATAAAGTTAGTTAGAGCAAATTTCAACCAAAAAAAAATGAAACCAGAATCAACTTTTTAGCTTAACTTAAGACCTTAAGTCAAGTACTTTTCGAGCTACTAATTTTTAAAGTGTGAGTTCGTTTGGTATTTTTTACTATGATTGGACGAAACCTCCACATCTTATAGACATCAATGACTATATACTTTATATAAGGCAGCGCATCCCCTATTACTAAAATACTGTTTAGAGTCGACTTAGTTTAAACTTTCAACTTTGACTTTGGCACATGAATAATTAATTAAAGCTTTCCCTGACCAATATAGTTTAATAGTTTTTGCACACGGCAAACTCTTATGAATGAAACTCTGAGGTAGTACCACGATGCAGCCATTATGCAAGTAGCTATGAATGGTTGCCAATGACAACATGTTGCACACTGTAAATACTGATCATTTATAATATGGATTCTACCGGAATTTTTAAACCTCAAATTAAAACATTTCAGTTTAAATGTCTTCAATATGCATTCTGAAACACAAGTTATTAAATATTTTGATGTAAATAGTGGTAATAATTTAAAAAGGGGGCGTGGTCCACACATGTCGAAATTAGACTGAGCGAACTGCATGACCTGCTGCGAACCTGTAGAAACATGGCTTCTCTCATAAAACACATATGGCTGTGAAAATTGGCATTCATGTAGATCAATACATGCCCCAGATGCATAAAAAATTTGGTAGTGACATGTCTTTTACTTCAACTTAATTTTAATGGTTGAAGTTGCTTTATATTCACCAAGGATTTTCTCAAAGCTGACTGATTGTAAACGAAAAAGAAATTGATTAAAACGTAGGCCAAGATGTCCTCTAAAGAGAAAGGCTGGAAGAGGAACACAAGTCTGGGATATAGTAATTATTTTATGAATGAAATAGTTCCACTATCAAAAAATTAAAAACTCAGATTTTCGCGTGCCGACGCCTATTTCCCATAAAAATTTTTTAGTAGGCTCCCTTGCTTCATCGAAGTACCTACATTGATTTCAAACAAAACACACAAGTACTAATCAAAATTAAATGAAGAAAAATTTTAAATATGCGATATGCCCTATTTCTTTCGAGCTTCTTTCACTTTTTTTAGTAGTTGTAGACAACTAGAACTTTTAGTTTTTAGTACTTTTGATAAATATTTGCACAATTTACAAGTTTAAAAAATAAAAGTTGGGACAACTATTATAAGTTAAAAGGACGTTGGATAAATTCCGCTAAATTAAGCTAAATGACTTCTGCATCAGACAATACAAAACCAATCCAGGATGGGAAAACTAAAATTGGCTCTCCCCAAACAAGATGAATATAAATGGCTTAAAACTTTAAACTTAAATGAAAGGCAGTGTCTACACGTATATCTGCTGCACTATTTGACCGCCGCAAGAATACTTTATCTAGATATTCGTCCAGCGACCAAGTCACATGACCACTGTAACAAAGTGGCACGAGATATTTGTCCGTCAGCCTTGTCACGTGACCGCGAATGATTCAAAGCTATTGTTAATTTTAAAATCTATTTCTCTACCAAGTAATTTGCTGAGTATCTTGCAAACAAAAAATAGAAAAAATACTTGGGTATATTACCAAAACGAAGTGGGGGTTAATCAATAATGCATTCTGGAAGGAAGCAATGCTGAGAGGGAGAGAGAATTACGGTAAAAAAAAATCTAATGCTAAAAAAATAATTGTGAGGGTGATAACTAATAAAGTTTAAGGCCGGGAGGCCGATAGTTCACAAAGAAATATACCCTATATCTTAATATAGGGCTGATATAGTGGTAGTCTAGCCTACTTCGCATGCAATACTAAATCCTAATCCTGAAATACAACTTAATTGACATAGGTCTATTGAAGTCTACTGGTCTTATGTTATTTTGTTCATATTTTAAATTTAGGCTTCAAGGTAGAGCTTTAAAAGATGTATTAACCAAGACAATGGATTTTTTCTTTGAAGAGTCGGAATCAAATAGACTAGTAATAGTAGTAGAAATAGTACTACTAGTTAGAATATAGGCCAATTAGTTTAATATTCAGTCAAACACTTTATGTATCTCAGAGCATTTGAATATATTAAAATGTTCAGCATTTATTTATTATCTAGGGATCGGAATATCAAATGCAATGCAACTATTTTGCCGGTGACCACTTACCACATGACCTGCCAGAATAATAACGCCTACTAGTCATCCGGCGGTCACGTGACATGCCTGCGGGACGTATATCTCACATAGTTAATGCGGTGCTCTAAAGTGTCTGCCCTGGATTGTCTGAATTTACCTCAGTAGCTTACAGTTTAGACCCGCCCTAGGTGCAAGTTACTGGCATAGGAGTAAGAGGATGGAGGAGCAGAAGACTGCACAGGGGTAGGGGGGGAATTTTTGTTCCCTGCATATTGATCAAATATAGGATATATCGCATGTGAATACTGTGCATATTCTTGTGGGTTTTTAGAGTGAGAGGCAGCAAAATCCAGAAGAGCCCTGGATGCCAAAAAGTCTAGCTCTCTTGCAATATGTACACATATTTTTTCATTGCTTACATTATCTACGGCCATTGAAAAAACGTTAAAAAAGTAATATGTGACTAATTGCTTAATTGTTTATAAAAATGCGATTAAAGAATATTATTTAATTTCATAATATTTACTTACCCTGAACCTGCCAAAGAACTACATACAAATTGTATCTAATGCTACCTTGATACCTAATACTAGTTAGCTGAGTTTTAAAAAATTCTCTGATTTGCTCATATTTAGCTGCAATTGATTGAACTGAGGACAACAAATTATGAACTTGAGGGGAAAAATAAAAGAATTGAGAGAGGTAAGGTGATAGGCTTTTATTCTATCTAGTAAAACCATTTCTTTCTTTTTTTTAATCATAGTTATTATTGAAAGAAAGTGGTTAAGTCGTTTAAAAAAAGAACAGTTATTATCATAATAATTCTATTACAGTATTTACAGTTCAGCACACACAAAAACCCAACAAAAGACCAGAATAGTTCTTATATTATTTCTTATTCATTTCATTTATAGGCAGAAATATGGCAAGTTTTTCATGATTGAAAATTAACTCTTTACTCCCCATACTAACATAAAAAAAAAGGAAGATTATATTTTGTGTGTATATATATTACTAGTTGGGGCAACACAACCAAGTTGTGCATGTAAAATACTGCCAGGTCATTTACAGGACAATTGAGTCATAATTGATCATCAAGATGTCCTTTTATATGCATTTGGTGTGTACATTATTAGGTGCATGATGGGAAAGCAGCAAATGAGAGCAGGGCAGACAAGAAAGATCCACTCAGGAATTATCACTATACATTTTTATCATGATCTTTCGTTCCCACAGATTTGTCAGATGCCAATGAAAAGTTAGAGATACTAGATAAAGAGCTTGGTAAAGCTAAACAGGTAACTGCTTTAAAAGACATTACAAATTAGGCAACAATATGAAACATAGTCATTAATTAAAAGCAAAATAAAAATGTTAGAAAACGTTTATTATAAATAAAAGTATTAATTTTATATTGCAGGCCATCAATAAAAGTAAGAAAGCTAAGGTAAGTTGCATTTAGTTTAAAAAGACGCTGAAAAGAATTTATAAATGACAAAATATTTAATATTTTATCCAAGGTTATATGTTAAAAAAATATATCATTGCACAATATACTTCACAAATTGTTATAATTTTAGAGATATTTAACATTAGATCCTATCCTAAATATCTTATCTTATCTTAACTATTCTAGGATGTGGAGCTTCTTATCCAGGAGTCAGATTCCTTACAGAGGAAGCTGCTCAGCCAAGAGGAGGAGTTCAGACTTCAGAACCAGACTCTTATGGAAGAGTTGAGCTTAGTAAGTTCCAGAATTGCTCTAACTGAACTTTGTTATATGAAAGTTAAACTGTACTTTTTACCCTAAATAGGGTAAATAAAGTTATTTTTTTATCTTCTTTACAATTCATTTCAAGTACCTAATGCAAATTCTACTTGGTATTTGATGTAGTTTACAATAACCCATAGGAAGGGTGAATGGTATGTAAGCACAACATATGTGAATCTTTTTTTCCAGTCAAGCTATGCTACCTTAAACTACAGCAGCCATGCTCCCCTAACAGTCTTTTGAGTTACTTGTAAAACTTGCATTCCGGGTGACTAAAATCTCATTGATAAACAAAAGCTACTTAAACTTGTACCGGGTATATAAAGAGATCCAGATCTCAGATTTTCACAATAGAGGCTAACAATCTAAAAAAATGCAGTCAGAGTTAAATAAACCTTTCTGTCTTAATGAAAACTTGGTTCATGCAATTTAATTATAATTTGAAGAGGAAGAAAAAAAATAATACCCATTTATTGATTTTAACTTTGATCACAATCTTCCTCTTTTTGTTTGTTGGAGACTATGAAATCAGTATAAATAACAATATATGGAAGCTTGAAGTATAATATAAAACTATCAATTTATTTAATTAAAGTAATTTGATACGCTATATTGTTTTGACAGTTGGTCTCTAACAATGAAGAACTTAAGAAAGAAATAGACAACTTGAAGTCTGGTGCCACGTTTGCACCTGAAGAAACTGTGCAAGGTGCAAGTGATGAGCTCATTAGACTTCAAGCTGAAAACTTGGCTCTTCAGAAGAATCTAAATGGTTAGTTTGGACTTACAATGCATCTGTAATCTCTAGTAACATAGAGCCTCATTATTGCACTACTTTAAAATCAAAGAGGCCCCCATGCCAATTTTATTTTGTCCATAAACTCTGCAACACGAATGGCCAGGTTGTTCATTTCAACTGTTGTCCTTCATTTGTAACTTGATCTTCAAATTTATTTTTATCTCAGTTGTCATAGTAATGAAGAAGTACATCAATCTTACATTAACAATTTTCTTTTATTTTTTTTTTTTTTTTGGTAATTGTAAAGATCTTTAATTTTTTCCTAATTTAACTAAGAGACTCATGGAATTATGTGCTTGTAACAAGTGTTACTTACCTAGACAACTTTTGGAAAGTATTTAGACATGGAATATCAAGATGACAGCTTACATTTTTTGCAATGGAATTATATTTTAGATATGATTAAAGATAAGTTGATACTGGATTGTAGTCTTTTGAAATCAAATATTAGATAAGACTCTCTGAAGCTGATAAAATAGAGGTGGAAAAGTGTGTTTACTCTTACAACTATGTGTGTATTCACTCCTGGCATCGTCACTGACCTCTTAAAAAGATTTGACATCCCCTCCCTCAAAGACTCACGAGAAAAGCTCCGTTTAACATTCCTCTATAAAGTGGTCACGGGGCTAGTGCCGGCCATCCCAGTTAACATGTATCTCCCCCACAGAAGCCAGGTCACTTAATCAGAGCCAAACGCTCAATAAACACTAACTTCACCTCTGACAACTCCATGAGCAGTTACACCTGGAACAATAGTAAATGCTTCACTGTGCCTCGGTGTAACACAGTCCAATATAAACAATCATTCTTTCCACGAACAATAATTATTTGGAACCAAATGGACAATGCTGCCGTGGACTCGACATCAATCGAGAGTTTCAAGGCTGCCCTGGCACCTACTAGGAGCCGTTTCCCAAACCGTTGCACTTATGCCAGTATATGGATGCAGCAACGTACCCTATCAGAATCAGAAAAGCTTAACTGTACAATTTGAATGGAAAAAAAAATGTTATAAGGTGACGATCAATGTAAGTTTATTCTTAAAGACAACATGACAATTTATGTATTTCATTGTACCCAATTTCTAGCTTACTTGGTGGTGTATTGATTGTCAAACAATATCTATGTATTTTTGTATGTAGCTCTACAAGATAAAGTAGACAAAGAAATACTATCAAAAGATGAAGGACAACATCTTGAGTCAGACAGTTCTCAAACAAATAATTCTGCACACCCAGGGTATGTAGCATTTTTTAGTCCCTTTATTTTTGTACATTTTTTTGGGGGGCTTATTAATATTGACTAGTAATGGTGTCATGTACTTTGACAATTTGAAGGAAGGGGCCTAATGCAATCTTCACCCTAGTTCACAAGTGAAAGCTATCTTGTCATAAATGTAATTCCATCAAGCTTAATTCTTTTTTTTTTTTTTAATATCTCCAGCCAATTGTTAAAAAATTATGTTAAAATTGTTGTTACGTTCTACTTTCATAAAAGATTAAAAGTTTAAATACTAACTAACTTTTAACAACTTTAATAAATTTATGGTAAATTATATGGCAGAAATATTTTATGTAACTTTCTCTTTGGTCCAAATCATATTTGCCCATTAATTAACATCTTGTTACACATTTTCCATCAAACCTTTAAAAGTAAATAATACAAGCATAAACTCTTCACATGTCTACTAGGCAAATGAACATACATTAAATTGTGCTGTACATTTTTGTGATGTCATCTATATTTCTTAATAAGAGTCTAATGTTGTTGATTTTTTTAGATATGATAACACTGATGGGACTGAAGATGGGGAAGGATTAAGAAAACCAGGTTGGTTATCAGATTACGATTATATATTTTCACTGCCCCTTGTGAATTAAACTCTTTTGATCAGCAGCATATCTTCTTTGGGTGACTTAAACAGAACGTTTATTAGTATGAGTGTGTTTACTCAGTGCAGCACTTTTTGCCCTTATATAAGTCTTTAAACTATGGGTGAAGCCTACAATAGGGATATGGCAAAATCAATTAATATAATTCTCAATGTATGAAAGAAAGTAAGGAGTAATGGTTTGTTGAATAGCTTGCAAAATAAAATTCCAGATAGCTACAATAAAATGAGGATTTTTAACAATACTGCTAGTGCGTTTGGTGGGGAATATTTTCTTTTGTTTGTGACAATAGTCTCAATTTAAAGATGATGTAAATAAATCTACAGTGTAGAAGTGGGGTGGGACAATTGAATATTAATATAGTTCAGGTGCATGAAAAAAATTGTGCAGTGGCGTCCCTGTGGTGGTGTGTGTGTATGGGTTTTTTGTGTATGGGGGGGGGGGTGTGTTAGCATTAATTGGCATTCTAGATTGCATGTTTTGTCAGGTAACTTAAGTATATAGGAATTTCAAGCATTGTTTCTGCCATTGTTTGACTGGTTATAACTAGTATTAAAATTTTAAAAAAGTAGCTATTTATATTTATGCCAAACTTTAAGGTGTGCTGCCTAATATTATGAGCAGGCATATACTTGAAACAATACAGTCAGATAGGTTGTGTGGTAAATGTACTTTTGGCTGCAAGTCATGACATGCCATATTAATCAATAAATGGGGTCAAACCTTCGTCCATTCGTAGTGTTTTTAACAGCTAATTTATGCTACTCATAATATTTTAAAGACATTTTCATTAGTCAAAAAATAAAATTTTTTCACTGGGTTTATTTGCGTGGTTCTTTCTGCCGTCATCACTTAAAAGTTTACTACGTTTTTGATGTTCTGGATTAAATTTAACTGAAGCCAATTATCCATCCCATTCACATTTTACTATTCATCTTAAGCTATGTACATTCACATTGTTCTGTTCACCTTGAGCTATGTGCATTCACATTGTTCTGTTCATCTTGAGCTATGAACATTATCATTTTAATGTTCATCTTGAAGTATGTATTTTTTCCCCCTCTGTCTGCAGTTCAAAGCTCACCGCCCTCAGATCAAGGAGAAGTCATTAAAAGTTGGTTTTATGTTTTACTAATTAATTTGTATGCATTTTTTGGCCAAGTGCATGGTCATCTTTTTTTAAAAAAATGGTTAACATTTTAAAAAAGAAAGATAATGATGTAACCGTACTATCCTTATGATACTATTGTCAGAAGGGACTAATAAGTGGAAACCTGTAGAAATATTGGATCATTGATCTTAAACATTATTGTATAATTTGAATTCTTCAAATTTATTGTTAAATATTTCAATGGAAAATACAGAACTGTGCCTTGAACTGGACACAGAACGAGAAGAAAAACATCTACTTAAAACACAGCTGGACCAGAGAAAGGTATCAAAGTAAAATTGTGTAAACTGGTTGAGTTAAAAATCTTTATCCATCTTATTTTATAAAAAAAAAAACACATAGTTTTCAGACCATGAAGCCTAATGAATAAATAACAATGTGTTGTAATATAATCATTTAATTGGTGTCAGAGTTTTATTCATACTTTGTTTCGTTTGAATCTTGCAGAAAGAAAGCCAAGAACAAATAGCAGCTCTCCAAGATGAAGTAGAAAAGGTGAGTTTTTAAAACCTTGTTTAGTGTTATCGTGGGTTTGCTTTAACAGGTTATGGAACCTGCATTGTACTACTGGTTTTAAGAAATATCATAGTAATATTGAGTTGCAGTGACAGCACATATAAATATGGTGTTTTAAAGATTAGATGGTTTGATAACCCTATGCATTCTAGGTAAAATAACCAGAAAACTTTCATTCAAAAGGTTTTTTTTAGATCATATGAAAATCTTGCGATGCGTCTTTAGACTTTCGCATAATACCAATGTATTTCTACACATCAATTGACAACAACTGCCTTGAATAATAAGTGTATGAAAGATGAAATGATTTACTAAAGAGTTTTGGAGCTTTACAAGTGCCGGAAAATAAATCTCAAAAGAAATCCTTAACATCTTGATTGATCAAAATATTTCTAAGGTCTGACCACATAGGTCAAATCGTTACGATGACACAGGGCTTCCCAAATACTGTGACTGTTTAAAATGAATTATTCTATCAACATTATTTGTGCCAGAATGTTTTTGTTTTCTAGTTTATGCAGACAAAAAGAAAAAGAATATAATTATCGTTTTAAAAAAAAAAAAAGCTGCCTTTCAGTGTTCTAATTAGTGAAACCAGTTTTGTTTTTGCATTGCAGGCAGCAGATAAACTCAAGAAAAAGCAAGAGAGGTGAACAAAAGAGATTTGCCTTTTTTATTTTTAGTGCACTTACTTAACTTTTAGAGACATGGTAGCAGTACATGGTAGCAGTATATGGTAGCAGATGGTAGATGTGCGGGCTACCCAGTATTAAAAAAAACTTGTTTTGTATAGAATTTTTACACATTTCTTTATGTCTTAACCTCAATACTGTTACATACTTATGTTAAAGTTAATCAAAAGAATAGTTATTTTAAATATAATTACAGCACTTCATTCTTTTCAAAAAATTGCACTGGCATGAAAATAATAAATATTGTTTTAATTTATTCAAGATGTGTGAAAAGCGTCCATGACGTTTACTCTGTTCTTTGTGTCATGGTCTCATCTTTAGAATATGATCTGAGACCATTTCAGAAGAATCCTCCTCTAACTAATAACATTTCTTTTCAATGTTTTTCAGCTATTTGCAGCTTCATGCTGAGAAGGAAACGCTGTTCAAAGAAACAAAGTACGCACCAGTAATTACAAATTAGTAGGATTTAGTGGCAAGTTGTTTGTTGAAGAAAAAATGAATTATGCATTGATCTTAATTTTTTGAAATTATTTTCAATGTTAAAGTGAGAAAATTAGTTTTGACTTTCTTTGTATAGTGCTAAACTGGAGGAGAGCCAGGCAGCAAGGGATAGGGACCAGAAGTACTACAAGGATCAAATTGCTAAACTTCAGGTTGAGATAGAGCGGGGGAAAAAGGTAAAGTTTGCAAGAAATCAACAGATTTTTTATGTTTTTTTTTTTTGGTGTTTATTTTTTTATGGCTTACAGTGGTTTTCAGTCCAAGTTATCAGGACCAGCTCTGTTCAAAAGTTGTTTTCCTGCATGTGTCCTGTTTCTTTTGATGACAGATTTCCTCATTAAATTTCTTTGTCTTTAGGAAATTGAGTCTCTGCATGTTACAAAAGATAAACAGATTGAAGAACTCAAGCATCATTTAGCAAATCTACAAACCCAGGTAAACACACTATGTTGATGCTTACAGATCACATAGGGCATATTTTGTATGACAAGTATAATACCAGTACTAAAAAAATATTCAAACCATTACTTCATTGTACAAGCATTGCAAAAAAAAATAATAAAATCATACATAATTGAAAATGCAGTGTTTTTATATGGCCTGAAATTATCAATTCATATTTTTGCTTAGGTTGACACATCTGGAATAGTAGCCAGTCATCAGCTGCAAGAACAGAGCGGTAAATATTTGGCAGAAATCACAGTTCTACGAGACAACCTGTCAAGAACAACGAAAGATAGGGATGATCTCTATGCACAACTCCAGGTATAATTAATCAACTAAGGCATATTTAAAAATGCATCAGAATAGCAAGAGCTTGAGAAATAAAGTGTTTTACTGTACCTTAAAATTGAGACACACCTGGTAGTGCACTTTACCTGAATGACCTGAGGGTTCCATTGATTAGTGATTTTATTTTTCTGTGGTGAACCATCTATTTGTTGTACTCGTGCTAATTTCATTTTTGGCTTCATTTCTAAGGAAAGCCGTCGAGTGGCAGAAGATGCTGTCAGTCAAATGCAGGCCGCTCTGGCAGAAAGAGATACACAAATATTGTCAATGCAGGAAGTCAGCAAGGTATCTGCCTTTTAATTTATTCATTCATTTAACTCTTAACATCACTATCTGTCTGGCTTTCTCAATATGATGATGCAACCTCTTAATTTCACTTCTGTGAATGACTTGTGAGACCTATTCAGGTATGCAGACCTGGTTTTTCAACTAATTTGGCGTTCAGTGAACTATTTTGAGATGTATTTTACGCTGGGTTAAAAAAATGTATTGCTTTGGTTTCTACCATTTACATTTAAAAACAAAAAAGCAAAAAGCTTTTGTGTCAGGGGATCATCCATCAATTATTACGCACTGAGAGGGTAAAGGGGATGGAGTTGTCTTAGAAGTGTACAGGTGTGCATAGAAAGGGGGAGGGGAGATATCAAATATTTTTTAAAGGCTATGAAATAACCCCACCACATTTCATAATGATCGTCATATTGTTGCTTTGTGTTTTCTCTATGAACTTGCCTGAAACGGCAACAGTAATATTTAGCACAATTCAGTTCAATTATGACAAATTTAGGCAACATTCACTTTTGTTTGCTTCGGTGCTGTATGATGTAATTTTGTGACATAATTATTTCATTCTTTGGCTGAATGGCTGCCATTGCAAAAATGGAGAAAACTGTGGATTTAAACATTTATTTTATGAATTCTCAACTGTTCCGCTAAGCAGCGTTAGATTTTATATATTTAATAAGATCTTTTAAGCTGCATTGAAATCTATTGTTAGAAGTCACTAAGCAGCTGTACAATTTTACTACCCCAGTTTTGGTGTAGCACGTTTCTTTCCTTCCCCCAATAAAATTATGATAGTTATTAGACTACAATATGTTAACGGAAATTAAAATCAAGCTCTTAGGCTTAATGCAGGGATGGCCAACCTGTAGCCCGCCACATCACATATTGTGGCTCACAGGATGTGTCACAAATGAACTTATTTCCTCATTTAGTTGGCAATTATTTCCATGTTTGGTCATAAATGCATAGGTGGTGTATATATATACATACATTTTGTCACCAATCCATATGTTACTGGTTTCTTTCAACAAAATCTTTTATACATTCATGCATCACACTCACACCATATTGTATGAAAGTCCTTTTCCATTAGCAATGTAAACTTTAATCCAGAAACATGTATATCTATCAGGCTGTACAATGAATCAAATGCATTTTTAATGCAGCTCACTATCAGTAGAAGAATAACTTAACAACCTTTCTCCACAAAGTTCTCTCATCGACTGCTCAACGAAATACTCATAACAAAAGACAGACTCTAAACACAACATTACAATTACCATGAGATAAGTCACAATACTTCACAAGCCCTAAAAGCGGGAAAAGCATTCATTAACTAAAATGCCACACAAGAGCATGTCTGGCACAATAGAACTCAATATTAAATTGGTGGGCAACAATTACTAGTGCATACCCATACTTGTCACCCACCCCCACTTTTGCTCTTTTGACTTCGGTGGACGTCCTTGATTTCTGCTCATCCCACCCCATCTTCTTCTAAGAAAGTGTGAATTGAAGGGCGCCTTTTTTGTTGCACAAAAGCACTGTATATAAATATACAAATGTCAGTCATCTGCTTTGAGATGTGACCTTTTTTAGACAAGCGATGCGAACAGTCATGGCACACATTATACTGTATGTTTATTTATTATTACCATATGGTATTATACAATTTTGAGAGGTTAAAGTAATATTCTGAGATTACTTTGTATTATTTTGGGCGTTCCTGTGTAACCTGGTCTGGGTATGGCAGTTTCTGATGAACTTCTCAATTAAATGTTTAATGTTTTTCAGTGTTTCTGTCTGCCCTTCTTAAAGAAATTTTCAGTAATGTTTACATTTTCCACCTCTTTGGTCTAACACTGTGTTGAACGTCCACTTGCTACTGGTGTTGACGCTGGTTGCCCTGATATCGTTTTTTTAATTTGTTATTTTTCAGTTTAGTTACTTTTTCATTTAAAAAAAAAAAAAAAAAAGATTAAAAAATGTAATATCATGTTAACATGGAGAGGTGATTGCCAGTACAGTTGTCAGGGCCATAAAGAGCAATCCTAAATAGGTTTTTGTTTTTTTAATTTGTTATTTTTCAGTTTAGTTACTTTTTCATTTAAAAAAAAAAAAAAAAAGATTAAAAAATGTAATATCATGTTAACATGGAGAGGTGATTGCCAGTACAGTTGTCAGGGCCATAAAGAGCAATCCTAAATAGGTTTTGTATCATGTTTGAATCAATGGAATTGACATGGCTGGCAAAATGCCTATTGCTTTTGTTCAGCTTATGTAAATTTTATTTAAATAGTCAACTTTAATACAGCAAACAACATGGAACCGTAATAGAATCCAAATTAATTTTTTATAGGATAGAGCTTCTGTTATAAGCCCCTAATTGCAAATACGATTCATTTTTAAAAAATCATTTAAGGTTGCTGAAAAACGAAAGTCTCTGCTGGATGAGCTTGCCATCAAGTATCAGAACGAGTATGACTCACATCGTCAAAATCTGGCAGCAATGGAAGCCAAGCAAGGTGCAGAGAATGGCAAATTGCAAAGTGAGATTGAGGAAAAATCTGTGAGTCCGCAAAATTAATTGAATGGAGTTTGAGGAAACTTGAGACAGGCACCAGCAAAACCCTTGATCTTGGTCTAGTTAATGTAGAACCAGACACCTGTAGATATTGCTTCAAAGCCTGTTTTACTTTTCAAATGCTACAGATGTTAATTAAATTGTATATCTTTTTTCTGCTGCTTTATGTTAAAGTCTTGATCAAATTGGTGGTGAAAGGTTTAAGCATTTATAAGGTTCTTGACTCCCTGACAAAGGTCAGATATGGCTTTGGAATTTGGGCTCCTGTGAACCAACGGTGGGTAATTTAGTGAGTTCATGGTTCTCAAAATAAGATGTCATGTATCCGAACTGAATAAAAACACATTATCTAAATATGTAATATTACCTTGATGTTTGTAAATCTACTTGTTAAAACAACAAACCTTTCTAAAAAATTTACCCTGAACTGCCACGTGTATTTAACACATGTATTTAAGATACACAAGATGTCTGTATGTTGTTTTTTTTTTTTAGAGGAAGCTGAGTGAGCTGCACAGGCAGGTAGCTGTGGTGGAGGAAATAAACAGGAAGAACCATTCCTTAGAAGATGCTAAAGGGTGGCTGGAAAGGAGACTCAGTGAGGTGGAGGTATGTTATCATAGGAAGAAGACATGATCTTATTAGAGGTTACCGGAAATTTGATCGAAAGAAATTTCGTCGACGGTAAATTGATCGACGGTAATTTGATCGAACGGAAATTTGGTCGAATCTTTTTTTCCGTTTGCACGTTGAAATTTTCGGCAAATTTCTTTTTGAATGCACTATACTATTTAGTAAAACAAAATAATTCGTTCAAAAAGAAATTTGATGCAAAATTGTTACGTAAAAATTGAAAAGAAGATTCGACCAAATTTCCGTTCGATCATATTACCGTTGACCAATTTACCATCGACGAAATTTCTTTCGATCAAATTTCCGGATACGCTTATTAGAAAGTGGCTCTGTAAAATGGCGAAAGTTACCAAAATAATTTTTTGTGTGTTGTTTTTCAAAATCTTAAAATTGGCAAAGTTAAAGAGTGGAGGGAACATCAAATTGAACAAATGAGTGCACTTTTAAATCTTTTAATATGCCTTTTATTTAAAGGCTTTAAAGATTTACTGTTGTCCTTACTTGAATTAAGTATAATTTTGTAGCTTTTTTTGTTCTAGTTTTTGTTTGTTAGAGAGCCTTGTGTACCTTTTACTTTTAGATTCTGTCTTTGTGAGATAGCTCTTGTACCTTTTAGATTCTGTCTTTGTGATATAGCCTCTTGTACCTTTTAGATTCTGTCTTTGTGATATAGCCTCTTGCACCTTATAGGTTCTGTCTTTGTGATATAGCCTCTTGTACCTTATAGATTCTGTCTTTGGGATATAGGTTCTTGTACCTTTTAGATTCTGTCTTTGTGATATAGCCTCTTGTACCTTTTAGATTCTGTCTTTGTGATATAGCCTCTTGTACCTTATAGATTCTGTCTTTGTGATATAGCCTCTTGTACCTTATAGATTCTGTCTTTGGGATATAGGTTCTTGTACCTTATAGATTCTGTCATTGTGATATAGCCTCTTGTAATTTTTAGATTCTGTCTTTGTGATATAGCCTCTTGTACCATTTAGATTCTGTCTTTGTGATATAGCCTCTTGTACTTTATAGATTCTGTTTTTGGGATATAGCCTCTTGTACCTTATAGATTCTGTCTTTGGGATATAGGATCTTGTACCGTTAAGATTCTGTCATTGTGAAATAGCCTCTTGTACTTTTTAGATTCTGTCTTAGTCAAAAACTTTCACCAACTTAAGTTGATTGTGATATCATTTACCTTTTTAGTGTGTATATATTTATAACAGGAGCAGCTATCAACAACCATAACATCCTTTGATGAGGAGAAAGAGTCATTGACTACACAGCATGCAGCACATACAGAGGAACTGATCACAAGACACAGGGAAGCCATGAATACATGCTTGGAGGAGAGAGGGAAGATGGAAGAAGACTGGAGGCAAAGAGAGACTGTGCTGAAGGAGGAGCTGGAGGGGATGAACAATACAATCAATCAGTTAAAGCAGGTACACTCAGACAATCATTTCAATCCAAGTTCATACTCTGTGATATGCTACTGAATATACTCAATTATAGGTCAACATTTTTTTAACCAAAATTTTCGATAGAAATCTGGGGTGTGACCTAATCACTCATCACATGGATCTGAATAATGAAGTCCACAGCAGTGTATCGGTAGACCAGGGACCTATCATGGGTCAGTTTTTTCATGTATATTAAAGACTTCTTTGTTTGTGACGATTGCATTTCAGTTTTCATATTGTTATGGAAACATTTTTGTGACATTTGTCCTTTCAAACATGTAGCGCCCCAATCTAAGGGTGCAAACTATCTGTGAGTCAACTCAAATGTCCATTTTGACAAAATCAAACTTAAGGTACGACCTATAGGCTAGTATATACGATAAGTAACACTAACAACCCCCCTCCCAAGCCAAACTACTCAGTTACGAATTGAAGCTGCACCCCAAACAATGGCTCCATAAGTCTGGGGGGTGGATATCATTAACTACCTTCTCACCCTCCCCATCACTCCACCCCCTGGAAGATAAGGTGTCACTCTATAAGAGGGATTAATGTGGGGCCACTTAGAGACTCAAGTTTATGACTGAAATATCACACTAGGTCATGGCTCAGAAAGGCTGTTGATTATATTGTACTTATTTTGAGTTTTTAAAAATAATCTCAATATGTCTTGTCATTTGAAATTAGGATATCAGAGATTCTGAGGATGACAAAAAGTTGCATGAAAAGAAAGGAATCACTATGGTAAGATAACACATTTTTTGTTCTAACTGTATTTTACTAGTAGTGCAGGTTTATCAATTGTGTCCATCCCAAAGGCTTCTTAAGTGCATGCTCATATAAAAAAATATGGCAGAAAGCATAAGAAATTTTGGGTTTGCATGTTGCACCAATAATGTTTTTTTCTTATTCTGTCAGCTTCAAGATAAAAATTGAATCCTCTGGGTAATTTTTTGATATTTTAGTTCATTTAAATTAATAATTTTGACATTTCTGGTGAAGTAAGATTTTTTTTTGTTTTGTTTAAATGTTGCTGTTCTAATGTAAAGAAATTTTGATTTTTTTTTTTACATTTCCGCTAAGAACTTTCTTTATTTTGACTTGAAATCAGCATTTTCACTTTGTAGATAAAAGATTTAAAACGCCAACTTCACGCTGAGAGAAAAAGAGGGGATAAACTTCAGGCAAAACTACAAGAAGTTTTATCAGAAGACACCAGCAAAAGTAGGTTTAGCAATACATTTGTTTTGACTATTTGCATTAAATATAAAAAAGTTCTTTTGTGTGTTTTTGATAATATGATAGCAGTGTTTTATTTTGAGTTGTTTAAATACTGATGAATGAGTGGATGTAAATCAACAAAGTAAGCAGTTTTCAATTGGTCAATATTTATCCTTTGACTCAGATATGGAGGACCTTTTCAGAACGCCTGACAGTGACATCCTAGAGACAAGGTAAGTACTTAGCCATTTTTTTAAAAACACTGTTAGTTGGAATGTTTAAAAAAACAAGGTGGGTTTAAGATGACTTCTGATCTCTATTTGGTTTAAGATGACTTCTGATCTCTATTTGGTTTAAGATGACTTCTGATCTCTATTTGGTTTAAGATGACTTCTAATCTCTATTTGATTTAAGATGACTTCTAATCTCTATTTGGTTTAAGATGACTTCTAATCTCTATTTGGTTTAAGATGACTTCTAATCTCTATTTGGTTTAAGATGACTTCTAATCTCTATTTGGTTTAAGATGACTTCTAGTCTCTATTTGGTTTAAGATGACTTCTAATCTCTGTTTGTTTTAAGATGACTTCTAATCTCTATTTGGTTTAAGATGACTTCTAATCTCTATTTGGTTTAAGATGACTTCTAATCTCTATTTGGTTTAAGATGACTTCTAATCTCTATTTGATAAGATGTGTATTTGCTGCCACTTTAAGATAATGGCATCTTAGATGAAGTCATTTAATCCTACTTGTCAATGGGGGGGTCATTTGCTTCTACTATAGCATACACATCATTTATAGAAGCTGAATGGACTTTTAATGTAACAAATACTTTGTATTGTTTGTAGCTCACTTTCATCCTGGGGGGCTGGTGCAAGTGGACTGGGCAAAGATTCAGTAGCAAGTGGACCTCAGGTGAGATGAGAAGCTTGATGGAATAAAAGCAATTTTTTCTCAATGAGTTTTTATAATGCTTTATTTCTAATGAGTTGCACTATTCTTTTCTGTTACTGTTAGAATAAAATTAAAAATAGAAAATTAATTTTTAGGGCTCTACAATAAATTCCCTTGCTTGTGCCTCCGCTGAATACATCATATCCGAGAAATACTTTGCCAAATGTCAAGATTGAACAGCTAGATTTGGAATTTTTAATGGACTGATGCATTGGACTCTTCTTATATCATCAGTGAATGTAAAACTTAAAGATTGTTTTTTAAACACAAGGAAACAATCTCAAACACATTATCAGAAATGAAAATGGATGTGGAGGGATAATTCTGGTTTTAAAAAATTTGGCATCTGTGTTTTTCAAGAGAAACAATGGTTTAGCTTTTGTTGGCAATGGTGAATCCACGAGGCTTGGGACGTACCGTACACCCTAAGTTATTTCAATTACACCGTAAAAAATATTTATCTGATTTAGAAATGTGTATTAAAGTATTAAATTCCTGGAAGTTGTACTAAATAGAAAACGTCCACCCGGTATAGCCCTAAAAATTGTCCATAAGTTTAGTAGAATAAGCCAGATTCTACCGTTGCATGTGTTAAGAGTTGCCTGATTCCTCAGTCACCCACATCTGCCAACACCAGCCACCACAGTGAGACGAGTGTTGGGGACGAGTACAATGAACTGCTAAAGAGAGTTGGTTTACTACAGCAGGAGAAATGGTCTTTGGAGGAAAAGGTGAGCCAAAAACTGTTTCATTCAGAGCTCAAAGCTACTCAATTCAGTGCTAAACTTCTCAAATCTAAGCTTATTTTAAAATCGCTATATTTTTGGATGTTATTTGGGAGAATAATAGTTTCAGAGTCATCATTTTTTATGTTGTTATGGTTTCATTTAAAGAAAAGGTTATTTAAACAAAAAATGTTTTACAAAAATAATTAATTGTTATGAAATTATCTGAAATAAAATCATTGGCAGCGATGTATGCAGATGACCGATGCAATAAACATATAGTTACTAAAGGGAAAGGTACACTTACAAAATTAAGGTCTCTTAAGGAAAATCTCAGTTATTATAAAAATGACCAGCTGCTGAATGTATTGCTCATGATTCCCCCCCAAATAGATCCGGGTCCCTAAATTTTATTCATCATAACCAAAAAGTACCAGACCAGTGACCTGTTTGCTTAAAAATGCTGTTTCTGTCCATCCCATCCCAGGTCAGCCATCTGGAGACCAGCAATGCATGCATGGCTGAAGATATTCTGAGCAAGACGTCCATCATTGAGCACTACGTCATGCAGAGTCGCACAGGTACAATCATTATGATCCTGATATAAGATGTTGTTCTGTTAAATTTTTTTAAATGTTAAAATGCCTACAGCTTCAAAATTTTGCATTCGCTGGAGACGACCAATTTTTGTTAATTTTACAGAATTTTTCTGTCAGTATTTTTAAACTTAAGAAAGTGATGAAGATTCAAATTTTGGTGATATTGATGATTTGAATTATTTACTTTTTAAAATGGCTGTCCAGGTCCAAGGGCCAGTAACTCTCATGATGACAAGCTGAGCCTGAAAAAAGTGATGGACCTTGTCAACAAAAACAGTGAGCACACACAACACACGCAGGACATGAACAAGAAGCTACAGAGCATGTTGGAGGAGACACTGACTAAAAATATGCATTTACAGCAGGTGAGCTCAAAAGTGCATTGCTGTTGCTTAAAAATAGATTGCTATCTTAAGCTTGCAATTAGGACTGGGAAGTGATCTGGGAAATACCGATGTTGGTAAATGATACTCTTTTTCAGAAGCATGAAGCCCTATGTTTGAAAAATAGAGGGGACATCTTCTATAATAAACCCCTCTCCTTAATATAACTCATTAAAAGAAAGGTTGAGGGTTCTTTTTAAAACAATACTTTATATTTACTTCGCTTTTGTTCATGGGTGGCAAAATCTTTGGACTGCTAATTCACCCACTTCCCATCAATCTACCGAGCTGAAATTTGGCACATAGATTCATTGCGGATGACAACAAATTCTATCAATTTTCAGCCCCAACCCCAAAAATCAGTTTTTCCTCTTTTTTTTTAAGGGGTAGATGAAGGATATATGGTGACACTGATAACTGCGCTAAATAAGATTCTTTAAAAAAAAATATATTGCAAGTGCATTTGGTGTATAATATTTTGTTTTTTTCTGCAATAGTCGGTGAAATAAATTTGCAGTGTAACAGCAGATGCGTCATTAGAATATTATTATAGTTCAGGGGCATGAAAAAAATATGAGGTGGGGTGGGTTTTTTTGTCCACAAATTGGGATTCTTAAATGCTTGTATGCATCTTTTGTCAATTTTTCAGCCCCCACATTGTTCAATAGTACATTTTATAAAGGCTTTATACTTCAAATTATTTTTAGGGCTTTTATGGGAAACATGTTTTTTATCTCTTTTGTTATAAAAAAGCGTCATGTTTTCAGGGATATAACTCTTTCTCTCCGGAATTATTTTCCTCGTTCTGACAAATTATTAAATTTTGCATATTTGTTAGACACTACTAAGCTATCTCTAAACCATCATAACTTTTTTGTTTTTCATCAGAAAATGTTAAGTTTGGTATGGAATAAAAGGGGAATGTATGCCCTATACAAAAAAAAAAAAAAAAAAAAAAAAAACAAGAGAAAAAAAAAAAAAAAAAAAAAATAATTATAATTTAAGAAAAATAAAAAAAAAAAAAAAAAAATTTTTTTTTTTTTTTTTTTTTTTTTTTTTGTGACTTGTGTTTAAAGTTTAATATATAAATGTGATTATCATTTAAGGACAATAAATATAAAAAAAAAAAAACAACAACTCACCAACTGTTCACAAAACGCTCATTCCAAGTCACATGAAGAGAAATATACAATCCAAAGTGTAAAAAAAATGTGTTTTTTTTCTGAACTATATCCATATGTGCATCACAAATAATAAAGGTCCTCTTAAAAAAAAGAAAAAATTAAACACCAGAGCACATTATCCATTGTCACCGTCACACAAAAAAATTTGCTAAAAAAATTTAACTATTGCCACTGGAAACAATTTGTTGCTATTATAAAATATTTGCACTGTATTCTTGTATGTACTAACATTTATTATGGTAAATTTACCATAAATTTTTCATATCTTTCCATCTGGGTTTAGCTATTTTAAGCCTAAAAAACAATCCATATGGATGTGCACTTTAGCTGGGGGCGGGGCTGGTTGTTCGTCAGCCGATGAATTACCAATTTCATTATTTCGTCACTCGTTTTACTAATACTAGTACTAGGATTATAATTATACGATTCAACAGAATCAGCCTCTGCATTTGGAATCATAAAATCACTATCTGAATCATCATCAGAGTAATATTTTCAACCTTTATTAGATCGATCACCAGATGAGTCAGGTCAAGATTTCATGTTTGTAAACAAAAATAAAATGGACATTCAAAACAACCGCTTCAAACACTTCGTTCTATGTAAAACCTCGTTCAAACACAGAAAAACCGGATATTTATACAAAGGGAAATCATTCTAGAATTGATTTAAAATAATTAAATACCAATAACTAAGAAAAGAACAGAAATAAACAGGTTTTTATACATCGATGATCCCATCACCGATACGCTAAAATCTTCATCTCAAATCGACGATGGGAGCGTTGTTCCGAAGAGAAAGAGTTAAAGAAATGTTCCTGTCATATTAACTTTGTTCTGCTGCAACATTTGTTTACCATGAAAAGTTGCATTCATCTATATATTATGACAACTTTTTTTTCCTTCACTTTCTTTTTCACTGTAGGATCTTGAGTTTATGTCCCAAGAAGTTGTCAGACTCAGCAAGTTGTCGGCACAGCAAACCGCAGCAGACATCCCGAAACCCACCCGCTTTAAGGAAGCAACACCACCAACTTCATTATCCCTGACATCCACCTTCACCTCCCCCTCGCCAAACAACCCGGCCGGCAGCAACGAGAGAGAGAGCAGCGTAACCTCCGATGACAACTTTGAGATTGTTTCCAAGGCCCAGGCCATGGAGTGTGATGCTGAAGGTAGTTTGTTGGCAGAAAACGAAGATTCCAGTTTGTGATATTTGTGTAGGTAACAGATGGGGTTAGGTCAGGGTGCAAGTTTGTTGGTTCCTGTTGTTTTTTGTTTTGTTTTTTATTTCCCCATCACATTGTTCTTGGAGAATATATATTTGTTTGGGTCTTGTTTGACTAAGCTCTACAATGTAGTCCAGTCTCATGATGAGGCTATTAGATTTCTGCTGTATGATTTAAAGATTGTGAGATGGGATGTGTGCTTGGTATTGGTGGTGCATCATTGAAAGTCGTGCAAACATCAACGTGTTACCCTGCCTTACATTCTGAGTTACTGACAGTTTTGTCAGATGAAGTTATTTAAGAAGTCTTAGGACAGTGGTGCACAACCTTTTTTGGTAAGACTCTTTTAAAGAGTTCTTGATATTATTTGACAATGTGACTTTTAAACTGTCCCAGGTTAGGATTTCAACCGCTGTTCCCTGGTTATAAACAGTGTTTGAGAAGCTGATTCTGGCACTTATGTTGGAAAATATTTATATTCCTATCAGTGATGTAAGGTCAGATAAGTCATGCTTTTGACAACACATGCAGCACAACATGAAAAGACTTTACAAAATAATTGGAATGATAAGATGTCATCTCAAGTTTTCCTTGTAAGAGCTCAAGAGTGTTGCTCAGTTTTGTTTGAAATTGGGTCACGTTTCAATAACCGCTGTTGACCTCTGACCCTGCCCATAAATAATTCAACACTGCTCATGATCAAAGTAAACAATAAGGAAACCTCCTGGGAAAAATCTCGTTAATACTGAAAGACAACATTGTAACATAGGGGTGTTCCATATTTGTATGTAAAAGTGACAACTTCAGTCAATGGGTTATATGTGTATAATTCAATTCCAATAGATAAATGGCAGCGCACAAACTTGATCTATGACATATTATGTCAAGTGAGTATTAGGATTATTGGTTGGGGATTGTGTCAATGTTTTGATGAATGTGAAGAGCTTCAGCTTGTTTCGTCTCATTTGATCAAATGTAAAATACTCAACAAAGTTATCACAATGAATTTATGTGGACATGATTTTCCTACTTCTGGATATTTAAATACAAAAATGTCAGTTCTTATTTATCAAAACGCATTCATATTTGTTAACATTATTTACATTTTGCTTTCAAAGAGTATATATTATGTAATGTCCTCTTTGTAATTTATTTGTGTGATTCTAGTGGGTTAGCTTGGCTATGCAACAATTGGCTCAGTTGTTTGGGTTCAGTGCCAAAGGGGGTGTCATTGTTAGCCTTAGTCATCATTGCTTTTGTTGAAATGGCCATCGGTAAAATTCATGCCTTTATTTCTAAAAATTGAATGAAACAAAGAATTTCACTAGAATCGGTTAAAAGAAATTAATATATTTATTTTTTTTAAAATGATTTTGATTGGCACCCGGTAATCTCATTAATGGTGCTGGAAAATGTTTTACAGCTTGCACCACAGTCATCTTTTTGAGAGAACCAAGAAGATTCAGACTTCTGGTTATCAGCTTATCAGCATGGACCTAATTAATAATGACTTCATAACATGTATAGTTCATTAATTGTTCCTCTTGATGAAATACCTCTGTAAATGTGCCAAGATTATTTGAGCCATATAGACATTGATGTAAACCACTACTGGATCAAAGACTCAATCCAGGGTGCCGGCACTTGAAGGCTGTCTATAACCATCTCAACAGGGTGGTGTCAAATAGTCCTGTTAAGAATGTTCCGTGGAATATCTAGGAGGAAAATTTGTTTTGTCTTTTTTGTTTGATTACATCATGTGTGCCATTTTAGTTTGTTCAAACATATGGTGCCTCTATATTGGAAATCTTGGGAGGTATAACTACCATGTTCAACATAAGATGTTTGCTGTTATTGAAGTTGAGTTAACAGAACTACATGAAGGGACGATGTTTAATTTGGTGACAGCATGTAGAGTGACATCAATGGAGGGTTGTCCCAACTGTAGTGTGGAGTACAAAGATTTGGTGGTGTTTTTTTTACTCAGCATGTCACCTTTCTCTAGTTGATTGTCATTGTTGTGTCTTGTACATATAAATAATGGCCTTAGGGGAAAGTAAGCAGACATTATTTGGAACTCATAAGGGACGAAGTAAGCTTCTGTAATGTTAGGTGTATGCTAGGCAGTCCCTCAAAGTTGTGTAGTGATAGAGTAAACATACTGGTGACACCTCTGGTCAACATTGATGATGGACAGATTCTTATTCATGTTGCTCTTGGGCAGAAGTAATAGTTGTTTTTCCTATAAAAAGGGTGTTTATCTGGTCAAGTGTCAGACATTGAAATTTATCTCAAAACATTTTACTGTTGATTTTTTTATGTTTGTATTCGGGAGCTATAGATTGATTGGAACAGTAGGAAGTCCTGGTCTAAGATTTAAGTCATCATCTAAAATCAAGTACGCTTAGATCCATAGTGCTTACTAATCTCATGCTGGACACATTTAATGTCTCATATAGATAGATAGATAGAGACAGCCTCCATGAGATTTTATATTTATCGGAAAACACAGGGAAATGTAATTGATTCTGACTTATTTTTTTGGTTTCATGTTTGCACCTGACAGCTGATTGATGTGACCTGACCTATTATTTGTCAGATGCTCTTTTAAACACTGTCTTTTGTTCTGATTCAGTTTATTATTTTTTTTTCTACATTTAATTCCTACAGTTTCATGGCATTGTCATAAATTCCATGGATTTTGTTTTCTCTAAAATTCCAACTACCCAAAGCAATATTTGCTGTTTCTGATATTGCCTTATTTCCTTTGCACATTAAATAGACTTTTCAAGTATTAATGGCGCCAAACATGTTTTCAAATGTACGGGCCCCCAAATAACTGAATACTTTTTACTTTTATTAAAGTGTGTTGCTATGAAAAGCATTATTATTAAGTTTGAAGAAAAAAAATTTGGGGGTAGAGTGGTCAGGAGGACTTTGTTCCTAGATGCTGACATCAGGATTTCAAATGTGGCCATCATTTAGTTTTCTTTAGTTACTTTTAATAGTCTTCATTGCATTTTTGTCTGTTTGTTACTGGTGATTTCATCAACATAACTAATATAATTCAATGTCATGAAATCAGAAGAAAATTTTATACTGCTAATTCGTGCCATTGTGTAGGGTTTATGAAAGGGAGTTGCGGCCCCTAGAATGTTTTCCCCTTGCCACTTGTGAGAAAAATGCTCATAGTTGTGCAAACAGCACTGATGAATGGCTGTGACTTGTCTCAATCCAAAAGTGCCATGAATATTTCCTCATGTGTTACACACTTCCTCACTTGATTCAAATCCATATTTGTTGACTCATTCAGTCTGCCATTATCTGTTTTTTTTTAAAATGGTGAATTTGGTTACTGTTACAGTAAATCGTGAACAAGTAGCGAATGAATGATGGGAGAAATTATGGTTCAGTCAGGTGGGAACAAGCAGTGAATGAAACGTGAGAGAAATTATAATGATTTGTAATTTTTTTTATAAATTTCCTTCATAAGCTAAGGATTAGTTTACATGAAATGTTTGTTGTGACTTCCATTGGTTAGCATTGGTTACAATACTTACAAACAAGTGACTAAGTGAATGAAGTCTTATTCATTGCTTAGCATTATTTTGTCATACAAACATGCGACTAAGTGGACAAAAGCAAACTTGAGTTGTTCTTGTTGATTAGAATGAGATCATTTCACCCTGGGGGATTAGTTGCTCTCCAGTGTATTGCATCAGTCAGACAGGTAGTTTCTTTGCATGGTCTGGGTTGGGGGGGGGGGAGGTTCTAGGTGAGAACTTTAAACAATCTTTTAGGATGCTACATGCCAACCTTCTGAGGTCAAAACAAATGAGAAGCCAAATATCATTGTACATTTATTGTATTGTAAGTTTCATTTAGTTATGACTTTTGTGCATACAAAAATCTTATGATGATAACTTTATTCCTTAAGTTTTGTTTAGCTTATAAGATACAGTCAGGTTAAAGAAGTGTATTAATTTTTATGAATACTATACAAGAAACTTTAATAATTTATATATATTTATATATTAGATTAAAATATGTCATTTAAATGTGTTAGTAATGGTACGTTTGTTTGTGCTCTTAAAATTGTTATTTAAATCAATGCTCCGCAACCTTTTTTCCCTCAATGCACACCTAGACACTTCCCAGATTTCCATGGAACACCTAAACACTTCCAAGATTTCTGTAGCACACTTAGACACTTCCCAGACTTTCGTAGCACACCTAGACACTTCCCAGACTTCGGTAGGACACTTTGACACTTCCCAGACTTCTGTAGCACACCTAGACACTTTCCAGACTTCCATAGCACACCTAGATACGTCCTAGATTTCTGTGGCACATCTAGACACTTCCCAGACTTCCGTAGCACACCACAATTAAAACATGAAATAAAAACTGGCTTCCCCTTTTCATTAAAAAAAATATTTCATATAAAAGTGAAATGAACACGAGCCAATAGTTCTCACTTTGTAAATGCTTATATATATCAACAAAAATGTAAGGAAAATATTTTTGTAAACTGCCTTTTCACTTATTTTGTTTATTTTGCTTATATCTACTGGTATCAAGTTTAAAGTGGTAATTTTATAATTCATTTTTAAAAAAAAAGAACAATTAAAATATTATTTTGCTAGAAATAAATGGACCGACCACTAACTTGTAAATGGCATTAATGTGTAGTAAAGTTACCAAATTTATATCAGTTCCAAAATTAAACCAAAGCAATATGAGAAATGTTTTAAAAATATGTGGCAGGATGTTAAACACCACGTGTTTGGGATTTTTCTTCAGATCCGATCAAGGAATTGTGGGTAACTCATTCTTCATTCTTTTGTTGGTGATGAACTACCTTACCAGGGAAGTGTCAATAATTTTTAAACCAACCGGCAATTAATAGCTGTTGGAAGTGTTACACATTATGGGCGTGGAGTGGAAAGCGTGTGATCAAAGCGTTTGTCATAACCTTGAATTCAGCACACCTAGCATCGTAGTGCGGCACACCTAGCATAGTATTGCGGCACACCGGTTGTGGAGCTCTGATTTAAAATAATCTTTACTCATTTTGTGTGTCTTTTGGTCCTCAAAAATGTTGTGTCTGTCCCTGGTTACATCATCGTTCTGTGTGAGCGGTCAGCCCCATTTAACACAGGGTCAATCTGGCACTTTTTGGTGAGTTGACTTTCTTTATCCCTTTTTGCTGTAAAGCTCATCAAATAATCATTTACAGATTTACTGGTGTGCTACCTGTTTGAACTGTTGTATGAAAGCTCGTGCAGTAAAGTGAAGAGCTATTCCTAGTAGCGGGACAAGTTGAATGTGTCTGTGAAGGAAGACCTGGTGTGGTTGGAAGGATGAAGTGTTCATTGGTTTATGCTAGAAATAGCATGAGGCTGTGGGGTCTTCATTCTCCTGAGGGTATTTGTAGCCACCTTACCACCTTACTATAAGACACGTTGAAGTTGTTACTGTTTTTCACTGATTAAAAGTTAAGTAAATTATAGCGACTCTTACATTTGTGACAAGTTCATGACGGAACAAAGTCTTCGATCTGGTGACCTTTATCACAGGCATATGACGTTGTTGAATTCAGGTTAAATTGCTGGATTGGACAAAGAAGGGGAGGGTGCTATATTAGGTCAAGTGCCTCATGGTCCATTCATCAGATCTGTACTCAATTCAAAATCTGGTGGTCCGCCATTCTCATTGTCTCTTGATTCACCACGTTGAGCTGTACTTTGTTGTTGTTTTTTTTTCATCTACTAATAGCTCTGTGTCCAGACAAAACTATAGTTGAGCTGGTGAATGGTGAACCAACAGAGTGCAATTATACATTTATGTCACTTTACTAGCACAATGGCTGTAACAATTCACATAGTAGTATTAGTATTTTCAACAAAAAAATGTCCCTACCGTTTGAGTGATATAAGAGCTCAAGTCAGCTGTCAAGAAGACTGTCGGTATTCCCCGACTTTGTGAAATGACAGCAAGCCATGTCTGGAAAACGTCACACTGAATCAGTCACCGAAGCCCTGCGTCAGAGACCACAGAAACATTTATTGTTCGTTGAAACATCCACGCTTGGTTGTTATGAAGAGGGAGCTTTGAAACTACTTGCCACAATCTTATTGGATGACCACTGATACTGATAGGTCACATGATTTATAGTTAACCTAACTAAGATACTCTCTTGTAATATGTTTCATTAAATCACTGATCATTTCGTGCAATACTTATTAACATTTGCCAATAAATTAATGAAGTAATTGACAACAATGTTTTGTTTTTGTCACATTATTGCATGTTATATTTAAGGCTAGGGATCGACAGACCGAGAGAGACAGACGTAAAGATAGAGAGAGACAGACAGATAGACGTAAAAATAGAGAGACAGACTTAGAGAGAGACAGCTGAGACTTAGTTAAAAGAGAGAGACTTAGAGAGAGACAACTGAGACTTAGTAAAAGCGAGAGACTTAGAGAGAGAGACTTAGAGAGAGAGACTTAGAGAGTGAAAGACAGAGAGAGACCGACAGCAAGAGCAATTTTTGACAAAGTGACATGGCTTCTGTATTATTTTGCTGACATGTCTATTTTTGCTCAAATAAAACGATTACCAGTTAATGTAATTTAAAAGTCGTGGTTCAATGGCCAACCAGAAGAAATCTTGAGGTAACAATGGTTCTAAAATTGTAAAAAAAAAACACGGTCGTTATGCTTTATCCAAGGATAATTGTTATTTTTACCTTGAAACGTCTGCTTTGAAGATGGTGTTGGATATTAAAGAAATTGTCAGGAAAATGAAATAAAAACTATTATTTTATCCCTTGGGGACTCTAATCATTGCGCAACTACATCTGCTCGGCAGTTACATCACTTCATAACAGTTACAGCCAACGGGAGTAAAACTTCTATCTGGTAATCAGTTTAGAAACTTTGGCCAGGGCCAAGATGGTGTACTCAGCCATACATTCTTATGTTCACAAAAATAGACTTTCTGTCTGACCTCTCAATTTCTCAAGTGGTTTACTCTTAGTTTTTGGTAACGGTATCTTGCATTTAGAGACCGCAACCTCCGCTTTCCCTCCCTCCCCCCTCCCCCCCCCTTATGGCCGCTTACGCGACATTTAGCATCGGAGCAATTTTTTTTTCCTCCTCCCAAGCCCCTCTCTTTAAAGTAGGCTACGTGACTGTAAGCACAGGGCGTCTTAACCTTTTTTTTACATTCTATAGACCCCACCCCCCCCCCTTTCCAGTATCGTCTTATGAGGATCTTATGAAAAATTTATGGGGGGGGGGCTTTCCAGTTAGCAGAATACTCCTAGAATACTTTTTAAATTCCAATTAATTATAATAATAAAGTTACAAAGGAAATGTAGGTCACAGATCCCTATGACACCTTTTTACGGACGCCAAGGGGTCCTTGGACAACAGGTTTTAGAATCGATGTGTCACGGTCCAATCTCGCTTTCTCTCTCTAAACACCCTTAATAAAAAAGAAAAAAACCTTTATTCATTGTATATTTAATACGACTGTACTGTGCTGTTAGTGACACCATATTTTCATCGGTGTACGTTGGCCTATTTTTTTTTCCGTACACTTTTTCAGTGCAGTGCGATACATTGCAGTGGCAGCATTCAGTTTAACTTTAACCAACTGTAAGACAAAGGTAAGTTGTTGATTATTTTTTAGAACAAAATATTAAGAAATTAGAAAAAAATCTTTTTTAGTTTTAATTTTTATTTTTACCCGGTACTTAAGTAGCGGTTCTCAACCTGTGGGTCGTGGCCTCTTTGTGGATGTTCTTATTCTATATTTTGAGGCCCCACGATCAATGTATTGACCATTCTGGCTCCTATGTTTCAGTGGGGTTCGCGATGTAACTGTGCATTGTTTTGAAGGGGATACTTCACTGGTTGCAAGGGGTAATCAGCAATGGTTTTATGAACTGGGGGTTGAAAGACAGGAGGCAATAGACGCAAATGTGTCAAGTGTATTCGCCTCAGCTGTTGCTTTTGGAAGCTCGTTCCATTCCCTTATTGTCTTTGGCAGGAATGAGGAGCTCCTGTACTGAGTTCTTGTTTTTATGAACCGGAACTGCCTGTCAGGGCCTCGTCGCTGTCCAGGACGGGGGACGAGTTTCTGTTTAATGCTAGAGCAGTGGACCAGCCCATTTTTCATCTTGTACATCATGGAGAGCCTGGAAGGTCGTAGTCGTTCCTCCAATGGCGACCATCCCAGTGTTTCCAGCATGCTGCCAACACTAGAGGTGTTTCTGTAGCGGTTCAGGACAAAGCACGGTGCAGCCTGTCGCTGGACCGCCTCCAACCTGTCGATGCTCTTCTGGTTGAATGGGTCCTAGGCTGAAGATGCGTAATCTAAAAGCGGCCGGACAAAGGCCTCATTGGCAATGTTCCCTCTAAGGTTTGCTGGTTCGTGAGCAAAATCATACAGTTGTGTGCAAAGTTTTACAACATTGATTTTGTGTGTGCAAAATTTTACAGCCCACAAATACAAACACTAACTTGCATGGAAATTTGCTGCGCGGATACTCAGACTGCTGCGGGGCGTCTGTGAGATAGCTGCGTGGCCGCGCAGCTTAAAGGGAACATTGCTCATAGGGTTTCTCTTTCACGCTGGAATTGCCGATCTTCAGATTGCGCCTTAAGAACGCTAGGGTCTTATTTGCCCGGATACACACAGTGTTAATGTGCTCGTCCCAGCGGGCCTCTCTTTGAGTGGAAACACCGAGGTACCTTACGCAGGAAACTGGCTCAAGAATATGGCCATGCAATTCGTAAGGGTGGTGTAGAGGGGATCTGCTTCTGGAAACTGACAGGGTCAGTCTAAGGTCGCCCAAGACCATAAAAAAACACATATTTATGAAGTAGCAACGAGCATAATTTTATGGTAAAGGGCAACACACTAATCAGAAACTGTCGTACAGGGTCGCGGCATTAGGAAGGTTGAAAACTACCGGTGTCATGCATTCATTAGTCAAACATATAAACAAAAACCATATTCCCAGTTCAAAGTTCGAAAACAAGCAAAAGAAAGCAACTTTTATAATAAATAAATTATTAAAGAACAAATATTTATTTAAAAACAGAGAAATTCAAGTACGATACAAAATAAAACAGAATTCGGTGAAATGATTAAAAAAAAAAAAAAGACTTTGTTCAAGTGAAAAAAACTAGTGTAAACCCTCACAGATAAATATGTGACTTCAAATAACATGATAGGTGTTATGTAAAGATATCGAATAAACTGTGAGCACAGCAAGATTAAATTACTTGCCATATACCCAGGGGCGTCATTGCAGGTTTTTTCGGGGGTGGGGGTTGGGGGGCGGGGGCAAAAACCAAAACGTGTTGGGCTTGGTAAGTTGTTTATTACTGGAGGCGCAACAATACAATTTAAATAAAACCTGCAAATTCCGGGGGGGGGGGGGG